AAAATTATTGAAGTTATGAGGAAGTATCACACGTCCAGGGACTTATGGCCAGTAGTGTATATCATTTCGATGGCAAAAATCACTACGAGATCAAAATATTTCTATCAAAGGGAAAGTTAATAAAGAAACGACTGAACAATTTTTTTAATATTTTTATCCATATCCTGAATTATTCTTATGTTTACTATTTTTGTAGTAGCGAGCTTTTTGATGTAGATTTGACAGATTCATATTCAAATTTGTTATGAATATTATTTTTTTTTCCTCGAATAATTTGAATTAAATTGTAGTCGGTGGATACTTTTATTTTTGAAATGATATATAATTATTTCGACAAGAATAGGGATCTAATTGAGAAAGAGTGAAAGAAAATATGTAAACCTACTATGATTTTGTGATCAAAATAATATTTTTGATTTCGAAAAAGAGATTTTTGGGCTTCTCTGACTGAGTTATTCTTGAGAAAATTAGCGCACGAAAAATAAATTTGATCAGAGAATCGAGGAAACAAAAAAACGGATCCCTACATGTATTATAGAATATTTAATTAAGACTCTTTTTTATAAACTTATATGCTTGGGTATAAATAGAATGATATGTATTGATTGAATAAGGAACAATAGGAATTACTGAATAGTTATGAGTGTTGCTCTTTATCTTGTAGTAACAACGAAACAAAGAAGTTCGATGCTACTGGTTAGCGCTATCACCAACAGGATAGGAGAAATAGATAACTTCGTAAAAAGCTTTCATTTTATTCAAGTTAAAATGCATTACTTGCCCTCTCATGATCTTTCAACCCGTTAAGACGCGTTACTCGCTCCAACATGGTCTTTCAACCGGTTAAAATGCGTCAACAAAAAGTTAAACGCGTTGAAACGGGGTTATTTCTTTCATGTGTTCAGTCAGCGCATTATAAAGCGTTGTTTTCTTCTATTCTAACCTTCAACGCGTCAAAACGGCGTTTTGGCGTTTATCTGTCTGCGTGGGCACTAGTATTATTTTTTTTCTTGCTTGACGTGAAAGTTACAGCCAAAACGATCAAGTTCTTCAGCACACCAGAAACAAAATTGAACACAATATTTATATTTCGCATAAGTGATGTATTGAAAAATTGAGCAAGAGCAACAGCTAAACGAAGGGTTGTTGCACTACCACTACCCAAAATGAATACAGAATGTGTTTTCAAAGCTTTTTTTTTCGAATTTATTATTTACCGTTATCATTAACGCCTACATCAGCTCGTACTAGTGGCTATATATATATTTTGAATTCATTAAGATCTGTTATGAAATTGGACATATTTATTAATTTGAGAATGTAAGGATAGCAAATGAAAAATCAAAGTGAATTGTATGGAATTGTAATTGCATGATCTTGTCGGGAAACGACAACTTATCGCTGATATTTACTACTTCGATTTACCACAGTGTCACAAAATGATAGAACATATATTCTTGCAGATATGACAGAAAGTATAGGTTGCAAAATTATATTGCATATGATAAGTTTCCAAGCCATCAACTGCTTTTTGTCTTCTCATGCTTCGTGGATAATTAGCAAGATTTGCTGAAAGCTTGTATTCATACTTACATCTAGTGTTTCTTGTTCTTGAATAGATTATTTGTTATTTTCTTGACTTATTACAACAGATTGCCGTTGACTTGATCTACATCATTTTAATTGAACAAAGAAAACTTAATAGCACCATACTAAAGTTAAAATAAAGATGCAAAAAAAAAACATAATCATCCTCACAAATCTTATTTAACTATCACTAATAATATTGATTGTGTATGACTCTTTCGATGTGTGAGACTTTCAAACAGTTTTCGCATTTTTTTTGTCTATTTAAAAGCAGCAAAGCGCTATGCAATTTTAAACATATGTTCTTTTTGTCGAACGATTCATTCTATAGAAAAATATAAGTTTGGCAACGTTTTCGTAGTTTCTTATATCTGCTATTAAGTCATCTTTTGATAAAAATAGTAGCAACCTGAGAATTTTTTGAATAGCTTACAGAAATTTCAACAATTAGCAAAATGCCTTTGCACCAATCAACATATTCATCTTATCTAATACACAACTAACGCATTAATTGCTCGAACTGATACCATCATCTGAGCTCGTATGAGGCCTACAAGAACATCTTGGTGAGACCAGCAAAAGTCTAAAAGAATTTGTTTCCATGAGCACTTGGAGCTGATTTATGATCGTTTTAATAAATTTTCGATTCATATTTAGGTATTTCCTGGAAAATCAATTAATGGAATTTTGATCTGAAATTTTGTTCATCAATAGGTCTAATGACCTATAGAATAATCTGAAAGCTTCAATAGAAAAAAAATGTTCCCATTAAAATCGGCTTTTGTATTATGTAAACGACACGCGAACTTTTTTTTGAGAAATTCGATCCTCTATGTGTAACATGGCCTGTCGAAATTCTATGTTTTTGTATTTCGTTGAAAGCATTGAGTGTAAATTAAAATCAACGTTTTTGCGATTCTCTCATTCCTTACCGTCAGGTACTAGCAACACGAAAAGGCGCGTCAGTAATAAAATTGAACTTTAAGTTTGCACAAAACTCAACAGTATATGTCAAAGCTCGTCGAGATAAAGGATGAAAGTGTCCGTATGAACTATAAAAATTATTATAATTTTGATTTATTCATTTATTTGATATTTTTTTATAATAAATTGTTTTAACATCTCTAACAATACACATAAATTTACAACAGTTAGAGTTTATCAGTTGCATACGTTTGTTGCTTATGATGAGATAGCCCTGATAAGCTTTTTTTTATGCACTTATTACAAAAATACGGCATCATAACATAATTTTTTGTGTTTTTCTTCTGATACAAAATATACTTTGATTAGAAGAAAAAGAAAACTACTGAAAAACAGTTAGAAGTATGGTAATCCAAAGTATTCATTTATTGACTTGTATTCTGGTCGTTGTTTTTGTCGAATATTCAATCGTTGAATCTCATCAGGAGGATAAAGCCATCCTTTCAAATCATCTTGTCGAGCTACATATTCTAAAGCATAAGCAGCAGCTTGTATCATCTTTTCATATGCAAAAATGTTAACATTTTGAATGGAATCACAAGCTTGATGATAACATGGATCATGAATAGCACCGGCAATACCACCCATTCCTTGGCCAAGCATTTTATCATAATAATTACGTTCTTCTATCGATTTTATCTCATCTGCACCGGAGAAAAGGGCACCAGCAGCTATTCCTTCAGCTAAGAACGGAGCATAATCACTTCCACCAGCAAATTCAGTGTAAGTCCATGGTAAGTTTTGTCGAATAAACCATTCACGAAATACAGTGGTCATTTTATTAGTACCTGGAATTGCTTTTGATGGAGTATTCATGGTTACTGTTCGACCATCATAAACACCAAACATATAATTAGGTGAAGCAAGCATATCATAATTAAAAATAATCAAGTAGTCATCGAGACGTTCACCAACAACAGTTGAAAGTTTAGCTTGTTTCACATGATAATTAGAACCAAGAAGGCCTTCTTCTTCAGCACCCCACCAACAAAATCGAACTCGATATCTATATTTTTCATAAGTAGACATTTGAAAAAGACGAGCAAGAGCCACAGCTAAACCAAGACTTGCTGCACTACCACTACCTTAAATGTCACAGATATGAGTAGAATTTTTGATATTTTAACTTACCGTTATCGTTAATACCTGGACCAGCTCGTGCACCATCACTATGAGTACCAACAACAATTGTCTGAGTAACATCACCCGTCGGTGTATCAGCACACATATTACCAACAGGATATTTTGATTCATCAGCTACAGAGATAGTTATACGAACACTGACATTGTTTGATGAATTTTGAGCAGCATCAGCAAGTTCTTGACCAAGAGCATAGGAAAGAAAAAGTCCTGGTAATTCATTATTCATTCCTAAACTAATTAATATAAATGGGTGCGATACCACCTGGTGACGTACCATCCTTATATAGTAAAAGAGCAGTAACATTATATTTCGATGCAAATGCTGCCTTGGCAGCAAAATTGCTATCACCTCTTTTGACTAATGCAACTCGATCATTGGGAGAAAGTTTTGCAGCAAGCCAATCATTATCAGAACAACCAAGATTTGGAATAACATTTATTGGAATACAGGTAGGAAAATTAGCTGATCTTGTATATTGAAGAAAAGAGAATTCTGATGCAGAAAGATTGGTTGAAAATATGCGATTAACAGTTACACCATTAATGAATGTTATTAATATTGGATTGGAACCAATAACAAAATTTCTTAAATACAAATGATCTGTTGTTACTTTAAAATTTGTATGAGATGACAAATAATTATTAATATAATCAAGTGTTCGATTGAAACCAAGTGTATTAATAGCTCGAGTACCATTTGCATTCGTTGCTATATTTTGTAGTTCATTAAGATGCATCATTACATCAGAAATTTTAATCGATTCAGCATATTGAGAACCGAGGAATAAATTGTGTGTTGTTGTGTTTTTTAACAGGTTAACAACAACACTCAATGTAGCTGCAGCAAGAGCAAGAGTGACAAGTATGAAAATAATTACAACGCCGATAAAAACTAATAGGGATTTAACACGTTTATCCACTGAATATATCATGTTTTCTTTACTTTCATGAGGTATTTCATTTGAGATTTGATTGTTTTTCATAATGATTCAATCCATTATAGTTTAGGGAATCAAATAAAAAGTGAAGCATAAATACAAGAAGATTATGAATGATACATATAGAAGGAGAAAATGTTTAGATCCTGCCGATTTTTTCTTCTACGATAAATGTAATATAATGATTCTACTTCAGTTTTGAGTGTTTATCAACAAGAATAACTATTAAAATATCATGTATACTCTGTTGTAAAACCGCTGCTGCAAAATAACTCAAATGAATTCATAGAACAAAAAAATGGCACGTGATACTTATGCTATTCGTTTATGATTATAGAACAATTCATATAGGCTTTTTTTATTAGTAAAAATGCAGTCTTATTACTTTGTTTTCAAATCATATACAACTGAGCCTTTTAACAGGTGAATATAATAATCATTAAAATGTCAAAGAAAAAGTAACGAAACTGTTTATTGAGATATTAAATACGATCAAAGAATTTGTACTCGGTTTCTATGTATGTGGATAGGGCGAAGAGACCATTAAAACAATCTAATGCGTCTGTGGTTTTTGAAATTCGAAGCGAAGAATTCTATATTTCGAAATTGTTTTTACAGCGCACAGGTAGATCTCAACACTAAGTATGAAGTAGGCATGGCAAAAGCTAAATCTGCCTTACAGTTGTTCTACTTATCTCTTCATATAATATATCTTCGGCGTATTTTTCTAAATCATAATAGAATTCTTTTTGCCCAAGATGATATCTACTATCGTTCAAACTGCGGTTCTTCTTTTTGACTTTTTCGGTACCTCAATGTATCAATATCTTTAAACTCATGGAAAAATGTTAAATTTTATTTAAAATCAATCTCTTGAAGACTGAAAATACTTATTTAATAAATAAATAATAAACACGTGATAAAAAAAGAAGTATATTGTTCAAACTGTCGATGTTTTTTATAAACTCCAGTCAGCTGTCGATTTTGATGAAAACTTGACGATATGAAAATATAATTTCATGAGTAAGGTAATCCGAAATATTCATTTATTGAATTATAGTCTCGTTGTTGTTTTCGACTATCTAGTCGAGTTGTTGTTTGATTTGGATAAAGCCATTGCTTCAAATCATCTTGACGACCTAAATATTCTAAAACATAAGCTGCAGCTTGCACCATTTTTTCAAATGCAAATACATTGATATTTTGAATGGAATCACAAGCTCGATGATAACATGGATCATGAATAGCACCGGCAATACCACCCATTCCCTGGCCAAGCAGTTGATCATAATAATTACGTTCTTCAAGCGATTTCATACCATCAGCGCCGGAAAATAGTCCACCAGCCACAATACCTTCAGCTAAAAATGGACCATAATCACTTCGACCACTAAAGTCAGTATTAGTCCAAGGTAATTTCTGTTGATTAAACCAATCACGATATAAAGCTGTCATCTTGTTACTACCTGGAAGTGCTTGTGGTGGAGTATTACTGTTTGCTGTTCGTCCATCATAAATACCAAAGATATAATTCGGTGAACCGAGCATATCATAATTAAGATTAATCAAGTAATCATCAAGACGTTCGCCAACAGTAGTGTTAATTTTTGCTTGTTTAACATGAAAATCAGAACCAAGCAGACCAACCTCTTCAGCACCCCACCAACAAAATCGAACACGATATTTATATTTTTCATAAGTAGATGTTTGAAAAAGACGAGCAAGAGCCACAGCTAAACCAAGATTTGCTGCACTACCACTACCTAAGATGAATACAGACTAGATGGTGGAAACATTTTTCAATTTTTTTTATTTACCGTTATCGTTAATACCTGGACCAGCTGGTACACTATCACTATGACTACCAACAACAATTGTTTGAGTAGGATCACCTGTTGGTGTATCAGCACAAATATTACCAACAGGATATCTTGATTCATCAGCTACATTGATAGTTATACGAACACCGACATTATTTGATGCATTTTGAGCAGCATCAGCAAGTTCTTGACCAAGAGCATAGGAAAGAAAAAGTCCTGGTAATTCATTATTCATTCCTAAACTAATATAAATGGGTGCGATACCACCTGGTGATGTACCATCATTATATAGTAGAAGAGCAGTAACGTTATATTTCGATGCAAATGCTGCCTTGGCGGCAAAACTGCAATTACCTCTTTTGACTAATGCAACTCGATCATTAGAAGAAGGATTCACTGCAAGCCAATCATCATCAGAACAACCAAGATTTGGAATAACACTTATTGGAACATAGGTAGGAAAGTGAGCTGATCTTGTATATTGAACAAAAAAGAATTCTGATGCTGAAAGATTGGTTGAAAATGTGCGATTAGCAGTTATACCATTAATGGATGTCATTAATATTGGATTGGAACCAATAACAAAATTTCTTAAATAAAAATAATCTGTTGCTGCTTTAAAATTTGTATGAGATGACAAATAATTATTAATATAATCAAGTGTTCG